ATAATGGGAACTGCGGGAACTGATAAGTCATATTTGATTAATGCAATTCGACAACGACTTCACGAGATAGCAAAGAGAAATGGCGTTGAAAACCCTCCGTAATTGTGCTTGCTCCAACCGGAGTTGCGGCTTTCAATATCCATGGGACAACAATCTATTCAGCACTTTTCATTCCAATAAGTGGTACTAATTTTGATATAAAAGGCGAAAGTTTAAAGCAGCTACAAAAAAAATTGAATGGTGTTAAATATATAATAATCGATGAGAAAAGTATGGTTGGTTGTCGCATACTCGCTTTAATAGACATGCGGTTGTGTCAAGCCTTTCTCGAGAAGCAGAATCAACCGTTTGGTGGTCGATCTGTTATATTAGTCAGCAATTTTGGTCAGCTTCCACCTGTGCTTGATCAGCCTATGTATGCGCAAAATCTTAGTCATAATCCTTTGTTAAACGATGGCATTGCAGCATACAAGCAGTTTTAGGAGGTTTTTCGACTTGAAGTTGTTCAGTGCCAAGCAGGAAATTCAGAAGAACAACTTCAATTTAGAAATATTTTAATGCGGCTTCGTGACGGTGAATCTACTATTGAAGATTGGAAAGTACTTAGCACACGGTTTAAAGGTTCACTAAGTATAACGTCTATAGACAGCAACCAGTTCTCAAATGCCACACATATCTTACCTCGAAAGATTGAAGTTGGTGAAATTAATATTAATAAGTTGAAGTCATTGAATCATCCCATTGCTAGGATTCGTGCAGTTCACACTGGTGGTAATGAAGCATCCAAGGCTGATTCAGATGTGGCAAAAGGTCTTGAATCACAAATTCTGTTAGCTAGGGGCGCTCGTGTTATGCTTAGGGCTAATTTGTGTGTGGAAGCTGGGTTAGTTAATGGTGCAATTGGAACAGTCCACGACATATTATTCGAAGAAAACCAGAGACCACCTTTTCTTCCTATCGCAGTTTTTGTAGAGTTCGATGCTTACAATGGCTCTGCAATTGTATCCACAGAAAGTAAAAGAACAATCCTGATTCCATCTATTCGATGCTCATGGGATACAAATGTAGAGACGTGCACACATTTACAGATTCCCCTCAGCCTTGCCTGGGCTATCATGGTATATAAAAGCCAAGGACTAACACTAGCAAATGCTATGATTAATCTTGGAAACAAAGAATATGCCTCCAGTCTAGTGATTGAACCCGGGTTGGGTTAATCCGGGTATACCTGGGTGGGTCAGGTATCCGGGTTGTGATTGTGTCTACCCGGGTAGGGTTGGACGGGTAGACCTGCGGGTCTACCCGTGAACAACCCATGAACCAACCTGCTGTTATAGCTGTTTTGGAACACCTGATAAAAATTTGCCGAATGCATTAAGTTTTGATTTCGGCATAATTGATGCATAATTTAAGATCTGATATTGATATACATATTATAAGACTAG